TTTTTTTTTTTTTTTTTTTTTTTTTTTTTTTTTTTTTTTTTTTTTTTTTTTTTTTTTTTTTTTTATAGGGCATGGTTGCGACAACATGACGGTGGTAGCAGTTGACTTATCTCGGGATTTGCTGCAGAAAGGAGACAGTTGCTGCAGCAGCAGCAGCAGCAGCAGCAGCAGCAGCAGCAGCAGCAGCAGCAGCAAGATAGTTCTTTATGGGGGGGGAGAGGACCTCTATCTAGGGCAGGAAGAAGCAGAATATGATGATGACGATGAATGATTGTTTTGTCTCTTTTTGTCTCTTTTTGTCTCTTTTTGTCTCCTTTCTGTCTCCTTTTTGTCTCCTTTCTCTCTCCCTTTTGTCTCCTTTATTTGTCTCCTTTTCTGTCTCCTTTATCTGTCTCTTCTTTCTGTCTCCTTTTGTCTCTCCTTTATGTCTCCTTGGGGGCTCCACCGCAGCAGCAGCAGCAGCAGCAGCTGCTGCTGCTGCTGCAGCTGCAGCTGCTGCTGCTGCAGCTGTTATTAAACTGTCTCCGTGCAGGAGACAGCGGGGAGCAGAGAAGGAGACAAATAAAAAAAAAGAGAGACAGAAAGAGACAGAAAGAGACAAAGAGAGACAGTATATCTCTTCAGGCAGCAAAACTTGCTGCTGCTGTTGCTCCTGCTGCTGCTGCTGCTGCTGCTGCTGCTGCAGCAGCAGCAGCAGCGACTGATGCAGGAGACAGAGAGAAGAGGAGACAGAAAGGAGACAGAAAGGAGACAGAAAGGAGACAGAGAGATATATTTATTTATTTATTTGAGTTTACAGCAGCAAGCAGTGCGCTGCCTTTCTTATAGAACTAATAAAAGGAGCCGTGCTGCAGCAGCTGCAGCAGCTGCAGCAGCTGCATGCATTGCTGCTGCTGCAGCAGCTGCAGCAGCAGCAGCAGCAACAACAGCGCCTGTTGCAGCAGCAGCAGCAGCAGCAGCAGCAACTGATTGCTGTGGTATTATTAAGGTGTCTCCTTTTGTATTCTCTGGCTGTCGTGTTAGAGACCCAGTATGC